GCCCCTTCCAACTCTGTTATTCTGTTATTTTAAGCTACAGAACAGTCTTGGCCACCTAGGCTGGTCCTGGATCTCTGCTAGGAAGAAAGTCCATTACCAGATACTCTCTAGCTCAGGGGTGTCAAACTCAATTTCATTGAGGGGAGCATCAGAGTTATGTTTGACCTCGGGGGGCTGGAGTGGGCAACGCCGGGGTGGGTATGGCCAGTTCGACGTCACTCATGTCGGGGGCACCTGTAGTGGCTCGTGCGCTCTGCCAGAGAAAACGGGCTCCCGAGCTCCGTTTTCGGCTGCGACGGCCTCCTGCAACCTTTTGCCAGTGAAAATGGAGCTCAGAGTGGGTGGGTGGGCTGCATGCGGCCCTCCCAAGCTCCGTTTTCGCTAGCAGACGCACCGTAGACTGGTTCTTTGCTGTTTCTAGGGCGGCCCAGTGGGCCAGATCTAAGTACCCCGCGGGCCAGATTCGGCCCTTCATCCTCTTGCTTCTGGATCTTCCTATGCTAGGTCTTCCCTTCTCTCCTCTCCTCTCCCGTCTTCTATTCAGGAAAAAAGCATTTTTCATATTTTTCAAAACCCATTTATCACAAACCCCTCTGGATTGCCTGCATTCAAAACTCCTGAGAGGCTGGAAATAAATAAAGGCTGCAACGCACTTGGATGTTCTCACAATATGTTCATAACCCCTTTAAAGTGAGCATTTAAACCCAAACAGCCTGCAAGAGACAATGGCTGGTTAGGTAAGGAACAGCAGGGAGGAAAAGGCCTTGAGGGATGTCTGAGAGACTTTTCCAATTTTTCCTTCCTCCTCCATCCCTACTCTCTCTCAACCTCCTTCAACCTGGCTGCTGTCTCCTGGTTCTCTTCGGTCCTCCTACATCTCAACTGATTGGGGTATGTGGAAGTCATCCTCTGGAGGAGGCAGCTTGTAGCTTCAATAATGGATGATTCACCGCAGTGCTTTTGGGCATGGAAGTGTCCCACCAGATTTGAAGACTCGGCTACATTGCTTGGTAGCTTCTACTGGAGTCTGGCCCAAACTCCAGCCAAGGCAGCCTTTTATCTGTGACTAGCTGGATCCCCATGCTTCACTACCAAACTATGTGATCGGACTTGATAAATCGACGCTTACAGCTTGAATCCTCCCCTATTCTCTCCCTCAGCCTTGCCCCACAGAAACATCTCCTCTCCTCTCCCTCTCCTCTCCCTCAGGCTGGCCCCATAGAAGCCTCTCCCCTTCTCTCCCTCAGGCTTTCTATCCCCTTCTCTCCATGAGGCTTCCCTCACAGAAGCCTCTCACCTTCTCTCCCTCAGCCTTGCCCCACAGAAACGTCTCCTCTCCTATCCCCCTTCTCTCCCTCAGGCTGGCCCCACAGAAGCCTCTCCTCTCCCCTTCTCTCCCTCAGGCTTTCTAGCCCCTTCTCTCCATGAGGCTTGCCCCACAGAAGCCTCTGACCTTCTCTCCCTCAGCCTTGCCCCAAAGAAGCCTCTCCTCTCCTCTTCTCTCCCTCAGCCTTGCCCCACAGAAACGTCTCCTATCCCCTTCTCTCCCTCAGGCTTTCTAGCCCCTTCTCTCCATGAGGCTTGCCTCACAGAAGCCTATCCTATGCTATCCCATTCTCTCCAGAGTTATTTTCAAGTTGGGAGGAGGAGTAGAACGTCTAACTAATTAGCATCAGAGCGATAGGAAATACTAATGCTCTGATAGTCATTTCGAAAAATCCTTTCTTAGTGAGCACCTAGAAGCCAAGATGAACAGCCACGGCAAATTTCAAGTTTGTAGGTTTTACGGTTCTGGAGATTTCGTGATTAATACGTGAGTGGTTTTCGCTTTTATATATATATAAATTCCAATAAAGGAGAATATTTGTAGCTGAGGGTTGAAAGGAGGGCTGTTTGTTGCTTTCTGAGCTTGGTGGTTTTCTTGCAGATGTTTCATGACCCAACTAGGTAACGTCATCAGTTCTAGAAGGGAGCGGGATTTGCAAACTGCCGGGGTTACTTAGATTGGTAATGAAATAGCTGCAAGAAAACCAAGCTGAGAGAGCTCTAATGACCCAAGAAATCTGCAATTCCCCCCTCCTTATTAACTGATTAGCGCGGGGCAAACGCCACTGAGAAGGACAGGACAAAAGCTAGAATTAGAAAGCCATGCTTCTGAATCCATCCCTTGTATAATTCCATGAAGAAACCGGGTCAAAGACAGCCTTTAGCGGAGACCCCAGAGTTGCCCATTTAAGCTCTGTCCTCTGCCCTCAGCCTTTCTTTTTCCCCTGCCCCGGGTCTAATATTTCCATTCTGGGCTCTTCTCGAATTGAATTGGCCTCTGGCAGCTGGAGGTCTTGATCCAGCTGATCAAAACCGCTACAGCCGAGACTTGTCCTGACCCGGCCTAAATTTAGATGACCTCTGTTATCTAACAAAAAGTCCTTTGGTTTCAAGTGATCCTAGACAAGTCTTTGCTGCCTCTCTCCGGATCCAAAACCCCGGTTTGCCCCGAGGGCTGCAACTGAGCTGGCGTGGAGATAAAAATGAAAAGAGTTCTGGTTTATGTAGAAGGCAGGGCGAACAGCAGAAGCAGCTTCCTCTGGACAAGACGTTCAGCTATTGAAAAGCCCCCCAGCTGGGCACGAAGAGGCCTCTGTCTGGAAGGACTGACTTGTCTCTCTGAATTCCCGTTAGCAATGGGGCAGCAATTGACCTCTGCACAACTGATAACCAGTCATGGGATTCACTGGTTGTAGCAACTGGTTTTCTGCGCGTCCGCTTCCGCGCATGCTCAATAAGATCGAAAATTACCTTCTACTGAATCCAGAGATGGTAAAACAGCTGAGGCATGGCAATCCGCTCTGCCACGCCTATCAGCTGGGCTTAAAACAAAAGAAATATAGATAGGTTATAGCGCAGGGGCGGGCGGGTGGGCCCATCTGAACATCGGAGAGAACCGGTTCGCTCTCAGCTGATCGTTGGAGCTACCGGTACACCCGAACCGGTCAGAACCGGCTGAATCTCACCCCTGTTGATAACCCAGCAGACTGGGTGCTCTAAAGGCAACAGCTTAATGGCTATTTGAGAATGCTTTCTCCCAGTTGGCTACAATTCGTGTTTTAGGGCAAATGTGGATTCTACGTTTTCTTATTTTAATATTCTTAACGTCCACCACGGATAAAACCGTGTTTAAAGAAGAAAAGAATTAACAAAAGCTTAAAAGAAAAATGAGAAAAGAAGCAACCCTTAACAAAGGAAGCCCCTGGACATGTGCGCATGTGTGAACATGCACATGTGTGAACATGCACATGTGTAGACATGTGTGCATGTGCAGCAGAGACCCGAAGACCAGCTGGCTGGCGCGGTATCCCAACACCGGCCGCGCAGCAAGAGGTAAGGTCTTTTTCCTTCGTGAGCTTCTGTTTTCTTCGTTTGCAGGGAAACAGAAGCTCACGAAAGAAACGTAACGGAGATCAGACCTGGGGCGACGGCGCGCGTGTCAGCAGAGAGAGCTCTGCGTCACAGCCGTATACCATTCCAGATAAGTTGACTGTCCAATCTCTTCCTGAAAAACTCCAGTTTGCTGGTTGTACATATTTCACGCTCACCCCATCGCTTCGCAAATTGCTTTCCATTGTACATTCAGATGGTTTGCGTTGTTTTGTAGTGGGGGTGTGTAACCTTTGACCTCAGGGTGGCTTGTGAGCCCACCCACCCCAGCAAACCTTGAATGAGGGTCTTAGAAACACCTCCTCCTCCCCCCCCCAGGTTGTCACCAAATTTCAATTCGTCTAGTGGCAAGAGGGGGAATGATTAAGTTTGCAAGGAATCGTATTCTCCACGTTGCTCTTACTGATGTGAACTCAAATGTAGCTCTTGCCCTCGTGTTTCTCCCTTGGAATGTGCCCCCTCTCTGTGCCCTCGGAGAACAAGGGCACGCTTTGTCACCACAAGTGATGACGCCCTATTGGGTTAGAAGTCTCAATCTGAGCCTTTTCTTCTCAGAGCTCCAAGGACTAAATGTCAGGGTTCGGAGTAATATACCCAAAGCAAACAAAAATCCGAGGCAGGTAGATTCCTCAAAGAATAATTTTATTGGATAGATGATATTGGTACAGTTCGGGTGAAAACCGACTCTGAATGATGTACACAGTATAATCATAACCCCTTTGGTAAGAGATGAGAAGTCAAGACCTATTAGAAGCAGATGAATTTAGCAAGAGTTGGAAGGGACCTTATAGGTCATCTAATAATCCAACCCCCCCCAACTAGGAGACCCTACAGCATTTCTAACAGATGGCAGCCCAGTCTCTTCTTGAAAGCCTCCAGTGATGAAGCTTCCACAACTTCTGAAGGCAACTTCCGTTCCATGGGTTGATTGTTCTCACTCTCAGAAAATTTCTCCTTATTTCTAGGTTGAATCTCTCCTTGTTCAGTTTCCATCCATTATTCCTTGTCTGGCCTTCAGGTGCCTTGGAGAATAGCTTGACCCCCTTCCTCCTCTCTGTGGCAGCCCCTCAAGTATTGGAAGACTGCTATCTTGTCTCCCCTGGTCCTTCTCTTCACTAGACTAGCCATGCCCAGTTCCTGAAACTGTTCATTGTACCTTTTAGCCTCCAGTCCCCTAATCCAGGGGTGAAATCCAGCAGGTTCTGACAGGTTCTGGAGAACCGGCAGAGGAAATTTTGAGCAGTTTGGAGAACCGGCAAATACCACCTCTGGCTGGCCCCAGAGTGGGGTGGGAATGGAGATTTTGCAATATCTTTCCCCCAGGAGTGGGAGGGAATGGGGATTTTGCAGTATCCTTCCCCTGGAGTTGGGTGGGAATGGAGATTTTACAGTACCCCTGCCATGCCCATCAAGCCATGCCCACCAAGCCACACCCACAGAACCGTTAGTAAAAAATATTTGGATTTCACCACTGCCCTAATCATCCTGGTTGCGCTTTTCTGCACTTTTTAATAGTCCGGTGATCCAACGTGGATGCAGAATTCTTTGCCTTTCTCCCCCTCCAGCTCCAGCTCCAGCACCTCTCAGCAGCTGGCAATCCTCCACAGTGGCACCCTTGGGTTCATCTATCACGGAATTGCCAAGTGTCCCCTCCCCGTTCTGCGCTGGCTTTTCCAGGTAAGCAGAGGTTGGCTGGCTTGCAAGCCAAGGACCGACCACTAGATGGCCCCAGTGGCCAAGGCTCAGGTGAGAAGGGCAGGCGCTCATGAGGAACGGCACCCCTTTTGCTCCGGGGTTCTGGCACAAGGGGGCTTAGGACTGTCTATCCCCCCCTCCCTCCCTCCGTGGGCGCTAATCAATTAGCCCGATTAATCAGCTGAAACGGTAATCAGCGGGTTTAGGAGGTGCATTTGGCTAATTGGCCGAGGCGTCAGCCTGGTGGAACAGATGCCTCTGTGGTGCAGAAGGCCATCTCGCCTTGAGAGAAGGATAATGATGTGTTGTGCCAGTGAATGGTGCTGCCCAGGCAGGACCTTACGAGAAGGAACGTTCTCCTCAATTCAAACCTTTATTGTCGGGGCACAACATACGTGCAATGAGATTGCTTGAGCTCCCTCGGTGCACACACACACACCCCAACACAATACAACTCACCGTGAAGACAGAAAATCCCTAACCCCATAAATCGTATTAACAAAACACTCAGTCCTATTGCACCCGTGTGAACATGTTACCCATTGCGCCAGCCCTGCAAGGCCATCGTACTACGTAGTGATGATGTTATTTTGCATTCAGGAGTCTGACAGCCCCCGGATAAAAACTCTTCTTTCAGCCTCTTTGTGCGTCTGGCTAGGCTTCTATATCTCCTTCCGGATGGTAGGAGGGTAAAGAAGCGATGACCAGGGTGAGAGTCGTCCCTGAGGATTTTCCTCACTCTTCTAAGGCAGCAAATATTCATAACAATCAGGGGTGAAATGCTCCCGGTTCGGACCGGATCGCCCAATCCGGTAGCGATGGTGGCGGGTGGTTCGGAAAACCGGTAGCAAAAATCCCTGCGCCCCGCCCTCCATGCCCAGCTGAGCCGCACGATCATCAGAGGCTTTTCTTTTTTAACTTTTAAAAGCTTTTTTCCTACAACCTCTACCGACTAAATTGCGCAAATGTGACACTGAAATGAGCTCATTCCCACCCCCACCCCTCCCTCCCCATGTCATCATCACCCAAATCGTGGAAGAAAATTGTACCTTTAAAACATTCTTTAGCGTGAATGATTAAGGTAGCAAATGTAGGCTCATTCATGCAGTGGGTGAACAATGAATCAAAAACGATTTTGCCAATTAATTTAAAAACAGACAGTTGGCGTTAAAGCGTTTGAGAACGGCGGTTTTGCCGGGGTTTACTTTGGCGGTTGGTGCATCTGTCATTTTAGTTTTAAAAGAGAGTGAGCTCACTCTGGAGTTGAGGGACGCGGCCGTGAGCTCTCTTGTCTTTTCTAATTTCTTTCCCGAGAAACTGGATCCTTTTCAGTGGCTGTGGTTGTGAGCAGTCCCGAACCGCAGCCCCCATCCCAGTGTCATAGCTTGACTTATGTAGGCTGAAGATTTATAACAGTCAGCCTGGAGTTAATAGTTCCCAGGGCAAGGTGCCATCAAAACCCCCACGAAAGTTATGTAAATCAAATCAAAAACACAACAATGCAATTAAAGCCAAATTGTAGAAGAGCAGCAAATTAAAAGCAGCAGAGGTTAAAATAAGCAGCCCCAAAGAAAGCTAAAAATATTGAAGATGAAACGACTTAAAAAGCAAACCGTCGGGGCAGAAATGTGAGAACAGCTACGCTGATGGGGGACAAAAAGCATTCGACACCATAAAGTAGGCTCGTGGGGAAGAATGCTCCAGAGTTAGGGAAGAGAGGGAGGGGGCATCTGATTGGGGAGATCAGATTCCTGAGGACCCATCTGCCGCACCTCAGCGGATTATGAGCATCCTGAGCAGGCCCTCTCACGGCACACATAGATTAGGAACAAGCCGGCAAAAGCTACTTCTTCGAATTCTCTAGCTCTGGAGTAGAAAGGCTGTGACACTGATCCTGGCTTTGCCACCATCAAAGGCACTTAGTTCTACAAGCTGATTAGGTGAGATTGGTCTTTCTCAGCCCAGCACACCTGACGAGAGTTGTGGTGGAAAGAAAAATAAGAGGAAGGAGAACTAATGCGCAATGATGGAATGGCGGGGTCTGTGTTTAAGTCAGGGGTGAAATCCAGCAGGTTCTGACAGGTTCTGGAGAACCGGTAGCGGAAATTTTGAGTAGTTTGGAGAACCGGCAAATACCACCTCTGGCTGGCCCCAGAATGGGGTGGGAATGGGGATTTTGCAGTATCCTTCCCCTGGAGTAGGGTGGGAATGGAGATTTTGCAGTATCCTTCCCCTGCCACGCCCACCAAGCCACACCCACAGAACCAGTAGTAAAAAAATTTGGATTTCACCACTGGTTTTTTTTTTTTTTTTTAATTTGATTTATATGCCGCCCTTCTCCGGAGACTCAGGGCGGCTTACAATGCGTTAATCAATAGCCTTCATACTTTTTGTATATTTATACAAAGTCAGCTTATTGCCCCCACAATTTGGGTCCTCATTTAACCTACCTTAGAAAGGATGGAAGGCTGAGTCAACCTTGAGCCTTGGAGAGATTCGAACCAGCAGTAATTGCAGGCAGCTGTGTTAATAACAGGGTGCTTAGACCACTGTGCTATCAAGGCTCTTATTCAGGTTTAACTCCTGAATAAATGGAAAGAGGCATGCTTGGTCTCAAACCATAGGCAAGTACTAGGACTATCGGTACTAGGACCATCTGTGAGGAAAGGAGGGATTTGGTTCTGGTTGGGTCCAGTAGAGAAGACCAATTCTTGACTTTAACAGTTCATTTTGGGCTCAATTGTGGTCGTAAATTGAGGAGACCTATATCACAGTTTCCCCTCCCTGGTTTCCTCTTCATCCTCTGTTTATAGTATGCGTAAATATGGCGGGTCTTAATGGTGGAGATGTTCCCAAGATGTGGTTTCGATGGGCTCAGAATATGGGGGCCATTAGGAGAATTTTGTGATATCTACTATGTCTGTTCTGCTTTCAGTGTTCAGCAACAGCTGTCTACATCTCTGGAAGTGAGCAATAAAGCTGTGTGCACTTCCAAAATGAGTGAGGTCCACAACAAAAATCTGAGATCTCACACAATCATAATCATATGAACGATGAACGGTTTGCATGTAGTCTAGTGAAGAGAAGGTCCAGGGGAGACATGATCACAGTCTTCCAATATTTGAGGGGCTGCCACAGAGAGGAGGGGGTCAACCTATTTTCCAAGACACCTGAAAGCCAGACAAGGAATAATGGATGGAAACAGATCAAGGAGAGATTCAACCTCGAAATAAGGAGGAATTTTCTGACAGTGAGAACAATCAACCCATGGAACAGGAGTTGCCTTCGGAAGTTGTGGGAGCTTCATCCCTGGAGGCTTTCAAGAAGAGACTGGACTGCCATCTGTCAGAAATGGTGTAAGGTCTCCTGCTTGGGGGGGGGGGTTGGACTAGATGATCTACAAGGTCCCTTCCAACTCTGTTAATCTGTTAAACCTCTTGGCTCAGGTGGAGGCCCTACAGTTCCCCAAGACATCTACACTTGGTCACCCCTCAAGGACAGAATTCATTTCAACAGTGGCGTAGCAACTCCTTCCCTTGGTATTGAGTAAATTCAGCTGAGAAGAGACAAGGATAATTGTGCTAATCTGTATTTCTTTTTGTTTCTCATTAAAGAAGCCACCCTAACCCTAACCCTCCGCCCTCAAACTGTTTGATGCTTTAATGCAGGGGTCTCCAACCTTGGCCATTTTTAGACTTGTGGTCTTCAACTCCCAGAATTCTTTGGTGGCTGAGGAATTCTGGGAGTTGCACTCCACGAGTCTCAAAGTTGCCAAGGTTGGAGACCCCTGCTTTAGTGCAACCTCTATAGTGGCTCCATTATTATTATTATTATTTTTAAACCTGAGCTGTTGAGTCCCTTTGGCAATGTGGATCCACAAACTTCGCTTCCACCAGCTTTTTCGAGTTGTCTTTTAAAACCGTTTAAAGATGCTCAACACGTGAGCGAATTCCTGAAGTTCCACTTACCCAAAAAGAGCTTTCCCCCTTATGGCTCTTTATTGGAGCCTAATATTTTGAGATAAGTGGTGCAGGCACCACTCTGGTTTTTCCAAAGACCATAAAGCGTTTGGGGCTGGTGGGAATTTTGAAAGCATGGCGTCAGGACCTCATAAAATGGCTGCCGGAGGCGGGGGCTCGCCTATCGCAGAATAGCTGCTGCGTTGGGGGGGACGACTCAGCCCCCCCCCCATTCCAGATGGCGAGCTGTTTGATGGCCCCCTGTCACCCCCAGACTCACCCTGCCATCTGTCCGATTATCTTTGTTATGGTTTTTTTGTTGTTGTTCGTTCCTTCGGATCAAGCGGGCACCTTTCCTAACAAGGTGTCTGAATTGCAGCTCATCTTTGTTTGTTTGTTTTTTTAAAAAAAATTAATGTTTGTGGACCTCTCCGGGACCTTAGGTGAAAATAACGATGATGTTAGAAGGAGACCATTTGCTTTAGTGCATGTCAGCTCCTAATTAAAAGAGAGAGAGAGAAAGAGAAAGTTTCTTGGCAGCAATTCAGAAGTGGATTGCAAAAATAAAGGTTGTTTATGATTTAGAAGGCGAGGGAGTTCGGGGAACATCAAAGGAAAACATCCAGAGGAGCCGTAATACAAAAAAGATGCTGACAAGCCCTAGGAAGAGGGCAGAGAAGAGCAGCAAAGACAATAAAGGGGCCTGGAGGCTAAATTAATGATTGACTACAGGGAGTCCTTGAATTACGACCATAATCGAGCCCAAAGTTTATGTTGCTAAGCGAAGCATTTCTCAGCTGAGTTTTGCCCCATTTTATACCTTTTCCCATCCACCATCTTACTTTTACTACCGGTTCGCAACGGGAGCTTCTGCGCATGCATAGATCGTCCATGATGACGTCCGGGCGGAGCCTCTTGCCGCCATTACTATCAGTTTGCAAGAACTGGACCAAACCGTATTTCTGGGCTGACTTTATTTTATTATTAGTGGCCACAGTGTTGTAGTCCGCCAGCGGCCTGCAG